AAGGGACAGAGAGAAGAAGGAAAGAAAAAAGAAAGGAAGAAAATTTGACCAGAAAAAACAGCTAATCATGGTATAGCTATTAGTCTATTTCATTTTAGTTTGGGTTTGCATTGAACATTGCCACCGATTTACCTGAAAACTTTTGTCATTTTCACACTGCACTTCAAGCATATCTTTCTCAGCTCAGTAAAACATAACCATGGTTTTTATATCAGATGATAAATGTATTAGGAGCTGGTTTAGTATTTCCCTTAAATACTTACTGCAGTGAAACATGGAGGCCCACAATGGTATGGGTCCCTCTGGAACATCAATCATACATGATGCTGTGAAGAAAAGTCTTGACTAGTTAGAGTCAATGTCATCACTCTAACCTATGCTCATCTGAATGCAGGCATTTTCCTACTATGGAGATTTTATTTCACTTCACCCCCAACCCAGTCACTCCTTAGCATTTATCATATTGTTAGCACATTTGTCTTTATAATGAGGATTCTGTAAAGCACACGCTTCTGAGGACATATTTTCCCCATTATGATTTTCCCCTCTCAGACAGGAAGCATGAATATGTGTAAGCATCTCTTATTTGGAAATAACATTGCAATTAAGTGTAAGCATCTGCCTTCTCTCTGAAAAGTACTTATAAATATTCCTATGGCCTTTCAATAATATGTTCCAGTGTTTTTAGTGCCAATTTGCAGATAATTCAACATTCCCACTATTAGTCTAAAATTAAACAAAACAATAGAAATAAGAGGGGTTTTTAAATTGTATTTAGAATTTCTTTTTCCAACTTCAGTATCCATAGTGAAGTGTGAAGAGGCAATTTCAAAGCAATTCAGACAAAGAAAATACTTTTTGTCTTGAATTAACTGAATATTTTTGTTAAAAAATGGCTTGTTCTTCAACTTGACCATTGGTTGTTTCTGTATTCTTAACTGACCTACATAAATCGAACCAGTCAATGGTTCCCAATAAGAAGAAAAAGAAAAATAATTAAGAACTGTGTAAAATGAAATACTTTTATAATAAATGATTCTAGGCAATTTTTATAACCTGGTCCTCAGGTTGAGAAAACTACAGGCTGCATTGCTTCAAAGACCTAAGACACCAAAAGTGCCTAACATACCACGAGAGGCAGTATAGAAGCTGAAATCCCTGTAATCTTTGTAAATTCCGGGATTCATTTTAATGGAAATGTAGTCAAAAAGTATTTGGTTATTATTTTCCATTAAAGTTCTAAAATAGTAAATTACTTTTATTTGGTAGAAAAATTGCTAAGCCTCTTAAAAGCAGAATGATAGAAAACTAGAACGATTCCTGAACTAAAACAGAAACAACTCTAGGGCCTCCTCCCAAGCTCTTTAAACTTGCATTAGAAATTTAATTTCTGTGAGCTTCATTTTTATGCTTTTTAAAATAATAGAATAGTAGACTATATTATTTTAAATCCTCTGTACATTCTAAAATTTCATAATTTAAATTAATACATTTAAATTTTAAAAAGAGACAAATAACTAACTTCCAAAAATGAAAATAGCTGCAATTATTTCCACAGTATTTTTCTGAAGTGGTTCAAAGTGAGCTTTGGTAGAATTGCTAAATGACTGAATTTGCAAAAGTGGGCGATAATTGAGTTGTTATGCTCAGCCCTTATTAATTATTAATGTGTTCTCTTTGATTTTGAATCAGAAGGGTTTTCCACCAGAGAGATTCTGACTGGGCCTGTCTGAATGATGAATCATCTCCCACACGGAGGTGGTCTTTCCCAGCTCCAAGGTACTCAGAGGCACTACCAGGAAATTTAACTGTGGTTGCCTGTGTTGTACTTGGCTTTTAACTTAAAAAAAAAAAAAAGGAACTTTCAATATTGATATCACCATGCTTTAGCCTGTAGGAGCAAAAGATTTTCTTTGAGGAAAAAAGAGCTTGACATTAAAAAACAATGCACTCGGCCAAGGCTCCAATCTGAATGCACTCAACATTTGTGTGGCTTTAAATCTGGCTGCACACACATGCCAGGCCCAAGGATCAGAAATGCATCTGGGTCGCAGAAGCCAGCCCTGTAGTCTCCTCCACCCTCTTTTGTTGGCTGTTTTTGTAACATATGTTAGGCACCAAGGAGACAAACAAGGATAAAATGGTATTCTCCTTTCCCATATGATTCTCTGCCAGAGAGACAAATCCCAACCAAAGCATCAGATTTCAATGTTCTGACTACTGAGAAACCCCACTTTCTTGTTCTCTGTCCATCACCATTCTTCTCAGCACATATTTTTCTACCAAGTACAAAGCAATGTAGGCTAATAAAATACAAGGTTCTTTCTCCCCACTCCATTTCCAATTTTTGGTCACTAATAATGTGTTAGTGACATAATACTTCATTGAAATGCCATTTGATATAAAGGCTACCTATTCACAGTATTTTGAACTCTTGAAATAAAGAAAATACAGATAGCCCATTGTCTGAGTTCTGTTCTATGAATTAATCAAAGAGTCAGTTTGCATCTCATATTTATCATGGAAATAACTTTAAAAATGGCGATAGAAGTCCATTAGAGGAGAGGGAAAGAGGCCTAAATTATCATACAACAAGCAATATTACATATGCTTTGTATGCAAATGTTTCTACAACCCTCAGGCAGGTTAATGGTGGGTCTAATAAGGAGATGGTGGCACCTGCCCCATGGACGCATGCAGCTTCTTATGTGGCCACACTGCCATCATTTATCCCTCAAGAGGATACAGGCCCCGCAAGCTGAGAATGGTGTGGCTGCTGTGGCTCTGCACATTAGCAGAGCACTTGTAAATCGGGTGTTTTAACGTCAGAGATCACCAAACAATGATTAAGCCCTGATATATAGAGCTGTAATCTAGAAGTATGTTTGGGATTTTAGGGGTCTATTTGAACTGTGCATAAGTGTATATTATTAGAGAAACAGTTTCTTTCACTTAAAATCTTAAAATCATCAACTATTCAGAAAAGTAGAATTAATAATGGAATGAATTTATGTATCTTCATCACTTCCGTTCATGAGCTATCTTTTTTTATTTTATTTTTTATCGCAAAATACTTTGTAGCAAAACCTAGATCTCAAGTCATGTATACTTCAGTTTCACAACTGTAAAAGTTACATTTCATCTCCAACATAATGATGATGGATTATAACTCCCAAACGCTGCTTTTATCATATAATACTATTTATAATCAATTTCCCACATTGCCTATAAAACGTCTCATGTTTACTGTGTTCAAATCAGTATTCAAACAAGATTCCTCACAACATTGGTTGTTATCTGTTTGAAATATAATACATTTTCTTAAGCAGTACTCTCTGACTGTCCCCTCCCATATCACTGACTTGTTACAAAATTCATGTCAATGTCATGATTGTTACCAAATTTATATCACATCAATATCACATTCCCTTAAGGATCATTTAAAAAATTTTAGAACTTATACATCCTCTAAATGGAACTTAACACTAGGGGTGAGTAATTTTGTAAAATATCCTAACAGTGTATTATTTTTTTTGTCATTGGTAGGTTCTAATAAATCTGTTTAAAGAGTGATTAAGGAGAGCAAAATATTGTTATCTTCTATAACCCATGGAAGAAAGAATAATGTAATTGAGATTTTAAAAGGTTCCAACATTACCCAATATTAATTATATCGCACAACCACTGTCTTTTTTACACATGGCCTGCTATTCTTGTTTATTACACCTACTTGGTTCCTATACTCCTTATGATTTACAGACTCTGAAACAGTGGATTCTTATTGAAAAATGTTGCAAGAGAACATTATAGAGTTATATACCAGGTTTTCAGGGGACTTTAATTATTAAAAAAAAGTCTCGTTTATATATCTGACATTGATTTGTGCCTCTAGGATACACTGGTAGATGGTATATCTACAGGTGAGAAACCAGTTAGGATTCTGTTTGAAAGAGCAGGATCACCCTGAGGTAAACAGCCTCAATAGTAGGTTGTTGCTACATGGCTGACTATTGGGTGAAAACAACTCCCCAAATAAATATAATACTGTATTTTTCTCTCCCCTATTCATGTTCTATTAACATAAATCATCAAAGACAACCCTAGCTGGTTTGGCTCAGTAGATAGAGTGTTAGCTTGCAGACTGAAGGGTCCTGGGTTTGATTCACGTCAAAGGCACATGCTGGGATTGCAGACCGAATCAATCCCCAGGGGAGGCTTGCAGGAAGCAGCTTTTAATGATTCTCTTTCATCTTTGATGTTTCTATCTCTCTCTCCCTCCCCCTTCCTCTTTGAAAAATCAATAAAAATATTTAAAATAAATAAATTAATAATTAAAGACATAGTTGAAATGTAAAAAAAAAACATGGGATAATTATGACTTGGCAATAAAACCATTCTACAGTACCATTTAAAATTCTCAGAACATTATTTTTTTGTACATTCTATTGATTTTTGACACAGAGGAAGGGGGAGAGGGATAGAGAGCTAGAAACATTGATGAGAGAGAAACATCAACCAACTGCCTCCTGCACACCCCCCACTCAGAATGTGCCCGTAACTCATGTATAATACATGCCCTTTACCATAATCGAACCTGGGACCTTTCAGTCTGCAGACCCAGACCAACGCTCTATTCACTGAGCCAAACCGGTTTCAGCCAGAACATTATATATAGATACTGTTATTACTTCCATTTTAAAGGTGACAAAACGAAGTTATAAAAAGCTTGTTGTTTTCCCAAGAACAGAGAGATAAATGGAGAATCCAGGAATCAAACTGAGGTATTCTAGCTCTTAACCTAATAGCAGCCTCTCAGAATAGATTTACAAGCTTATTTTTGTCTTTATGTGAGCACCAAGTGATAGAAAAACTTCCAATTATGATGCCAACCCTGAAACTTTTAATATACCTTAACCCATGAGGTGTTTCAATGTGAGTACTTATATATTACATGTGCATTTAATAACTGCATATATAAAGATTCCTTTTGCTTTAAACAGGTCATTGATAACCTTGGTCCTTTGGAGCTGATCCTTAACACGCCTAGCCATCACAGGGTGCATCATGGTAAGGAAATTGATCTCCTCTTTCCTTTTTCATTTATTTAAAATTATACTAGCTTTCATCACTTCATCGTAATTACCCAACATAGTCAGCACACACTGTGTAAATAGGCATCTCTTCTTCCTTTGAATCTCCAAAGGTAGAACCAGAAACAAACCAACCTACCATCATCAACTTATCTGGATTTTGCATTTTGCCTGAATCTCCTCAGGTGTAGGGGGGGACAAACGAACAAATAAAAAACTGAGCTAAACAGCTGAGTGGGTGGATGTACACTTTATATCTTGAAGGCCACTCCTTTACCTGATGCTGAGGGTCATTCATATCTAGAGCCAGAGAGTGCCTGATTTTGAAAACTGTTGGGATTTGAGAAAAGCCTAATAGGAAACACTTTACTTTTCTGCTTCAATTCTGTGAACAAGCCTTGCCTACACTGCAGTTGCCTGACAAAGAGAAAGTCCCATGTGGCTAGTGCCTAAAGTTTAAAGATGCCAACTTAAATAATAGAAATGTTTGCATTGTGCACCCAAGAATCTGGATAAGAATGTGCATATAAGCATTACATGTAAAGGGAGAAAAAAAGAGACCTGATTAACATGTTTATCAGCAGTTGAACAAACTGCAGACAATTCACGTAATGGGAAACTATATCCCCTTGACAACACTATATGACACACATTGGCATGAATGAATCTTACAAATATGATGTTGTGATAAAGAAGCCAGTAATAATAGAAGAAATACTATTGTTCTGTTTTATAAGTTTCCAGCAATCAGACAGCACAGGAGCACTGTAGGTCTGCCTTCCCGAGGCGGCAGGTCCCTTTTCCCATAGCAGGGGGCAGAGTGGGTGCCCAAGCTCCTCCAGAGAGACAGGGTCATGCTACACATGTCAGTTGCCTCCTGTGAAGTCAACAGCCATTCCCCTACCACAAGAGCATCATTAATGAGGGGTAGAGAGGCCAAGAGTGTTACACTCTTAGGATTCCTCCACATAAAGGGAAACATACGGAGTGGAGAAGAGCAAGGCCACATTGAAAAAGAAATAGTTGAGAGTTTCCCCTGTCTGATTTCAGAGCGCCTTTCCACACACGTTGCTTTATATCAGCTTCAGCACTATTAACTGAGGAGCCGGCGAGGCCATGGCATACTCAGCCCCAGGGCGCTCTCAGCCAGGTTCAATGTACCCGAGGGGGTGGTGGTGAAGGATTAGAAAAGATAGACAAGAGAAGGAAAGCTGGGACTCAGTGAGAACCTGCTTCCTTGATGGGGACCCAGCAGCGCCACAGACTACAAGCCGTGTCTTTATTTTATAGCAGATGCCATGAGCCAAAGGAAGGGCATGGTCAAGATGTTTACAACATTCTCGTGGGTTTCAGACCCACTCAATTACATGCACCTGATCAAGTTTTGTTTACTTGCAGCCTATGTCACGCAGGCATGTGGGGTCACGTTTTCCGACCATAGGTTCAAGCTTACAACTACAGCTGTTGGCTATAATTGTGCTGGGAGGTTCTGCCCTCCAGGCTGGGACTTGTACTTGTTGAACCTGTCCAAACATTGTAGCTGCACCCCATAATTAACATTTTCATATTAATTTTAAAAAGATCAGATAGTTCTTGGGGCCATGGGGTCTGTTCTGTGTATTACAGCATGTTGATCTCTACATACATAGATGCCAGTAACCTCTCAGTTGTGACTACCAACATCATCAGACATTGCCACATGCCCCCTGAAAGGGCAAAGTGCTCCCCAATCCAACTGGGAGCCACTGTTTACACCTGGATGGCCACAGGTTGTGTATCTGTGTACCAGCCCCACTCTACTTATGTACCGGCGGGAGATTTTTCCTGTTTTCACTTTCAAATGTGTATTTGCATGTGGGGAAGGCGTGTAAAAAAAAAGAGAACACCAGAAGCCAGTGGGTTTGTTGGAGTAGTGGTTTAGTGGGTTAATATTCTTTATCCTATTGGTAACCATTGGATTGTCTATTATTATTAAATAAATTATGCCCAGCTACTTAAATTATAATTTGAATATTTTAGAGCAGAAAAAATATCATAAATGTTAGGAGTATATAAAAAAATTGAGGTTAATTTGATTTTCATGATGTATTTTATAATTTTTAGAAATAGTAATATCTCACTCTAGATAGGAAATTTTCTTTCTGGAAAAAAATGCAGAGAAAATTAGTGGACCTAATTCCCTTAAAATTTTAACAAAACACAATTACACATATTATCTATCTTATTTTCCAGTGCTGTTTTTTTCTGGACCATTTAATTTTAATTATTATTTTTCATAGTCCCAAAATAGAATTGTTTATAATTATCCAAGATTTTTTAAAACCTGGAACATTGTAAACACACACTTTTTTTCATCTGGGATAATTCTTAATAGTTTTAAGGAAATATTTGCTCTTATTAGTAAAATTAATTAAAAAACAAAATGAAAACTCACTTTCCTAGCAAATAAAAGCTAGTGTTGTCAGTGGAAAGAGATTCCTAGGAAAAACATTCTGTTACATAAATCTTAGTTTTGTGAATGGCTTCAAGATGAGATATTTCAAGAATCATAACTTTATTCTTTAAAAATATTTTTAAAATGTTTTTTCTCATAGGCAGAAACCGTTATTGCATAGACAAAAATTATGCCGGCACACTTATTATATGGGATAGAATTTTTGGTAAGTAAAATGTACTAGAATTTTCAAAATTTAATTAGCTCCTTAACTCTCAGAAAGTCAAAGATCCTTAATGTTTGTCTTCCAGGGACATTTGAGCCAGAGGATAAAAAAGTTGTGTATGGTTTGACACATCCCATTAATACATTTGATCCACTCAAGGTGCAGGTAATGTATTCAGTTTTATTCTCTCTGAATTGATAATATTCTATCATTAAAAGAATAATAAGCAATATACTTTTAAAAGTAGTAGTGGATTACACCATCCTGGAAACATTTTTTAGTTGTGAAAGAATGTGAAAATAACCCTGATATTTAAACAAAGACTTAAATCAAGTTGGGCAAAATAAATTAGAAAGCAATTAATACAATTTTTAAACATGTCTACTACCTAGAATTTAAACATGGCTCTTTAGCAAACATATTCTTTCTCAGAATAGACCTGAAATTATATTCATGCATTCAGAACGGATGGTAGTAACATGTATAATTAAGGCTGATCCCACAGTAAGAAAAATATTTGCTTCAAGTCTACATGACTCTGGTTAGAAATTCAGTGCAAGGCTCTGCCCCCTCTTCCTGGATCTGTGTGCCAGGAACTATTATGTGTTGGTTAGGTCTGCATGTTCCCTCATCTGCGAAGACTTGTTTTCTGTCCTACACGTGGTATTGGTTGTTCACTGGTCTCAATGATTGGCACTAGAGAAATTAGGAATGTCTGTGAAGCTCCGATATGTCAGCCACAGACCACCTCAAACACTCCTGGGGTTAAGAGTAGTAAATGAAAAAAGATAAGAATGCTTGAAACCCTAAAGAGGCCAGTCAATGACAGTGCTGTCCCAGGGACTAGGCTTATGGCATTCAGAAAAAAAGAAAATTACAGGTTCATGTGGGTCTGCTTTTCAAACTTACTTCTTCACATTTTTAAGAAAGTAAAAATAAAAATAAATACATATTTATTGAGCTATTACTATTGCAGGCCATTGCTAACAGCATAGCATAAATATTTAATGTAAGCATTTCTAAAACATTTTGAGGTAGTGGCTCTTTTCAGCTTCAGTTGTTGGTGGATAAAACTGAGGTTCTCAGGATTTAAATGATTCACCCAATTACACACAGCTTGCTAAGGGTGAACTTAACCAAGATGGACTCTAGGCCAAGCCCAAAACTTGCCTAACTCAATTTAAATTTTACATGCTCCTGCTTCTTTACAGAAAAGACCATTGCAAATTACCTTCCTATTTCAAGTGAAACACATTTTTATCTCATACTTCAAAAGAAAAAAAAAAATGACTATTTTCTCTTCTCTACAGCATTTCTCTTTTGGTTTCTTGGTGTGTGTCTCTCTCTCTCTCTCTCTCTCTCTCTCTCTCTCTCTCTCTCTCTCTCTCTCTCTCTCTCTCTGCCATTATTAAAAACATATATCTTAGGAGAATACTAAAGAAGCATTTCAGGGTACTTTCTTAATAATAAGCTTTACAGAATCAAAACCACATTGGAAATAATACATTAAGAGCTGCTTCTTTACTTGTGTAGTCCTGTCTCTGTTGAGAGGAGATTAACAAGGAATTGGACAACTTGGTTTCTGTCCTATGTGGCAGAGCCTTTCAAACTTAAATGGCATGTGAATGGTCGGAGCATCTGATGAAAGTGTGGATTCTGCTCAGCAGGGCTGGGTCTGTCCAAGACTGGTTCTGACAGGCTCCCAGGCTATGTCTGCTGCTGATTCATGACTGAACATTTAAATAGAAAGGCTTTGGAATTGTGCACTCTTGCTAAGGAAGAGCAGCTCATGTAGAAGCCGAAAAGAAGAGATTGAAAACTGTACAACATGAGCTGCAGGAAAAATGGATACTTAGGATTTGGAGGGAGACACTATTCAGATAATCATAAGAATTTATGAGCCACTGCTGAATTTGTGTCAGTTTCATATCTCCAGGCATCTACCCTTCACATAAACATTTTATTTACTGTGGTAAGTGTCACAGCAGTGTCCATGGTTTAGTCTTCCACATGGCCAGGAATGTCAAATCAGCAACATGTGGTAATTAGGAGTTCCGAACCTACAAAAACATATACTTACTTTCACTTATATTCCTTTTTATCCAGCTCAGTGTCTCACCTTGTCTTCATAAGCATAGAAGAAAAAACACAAACAAAAAACCTTGGGATTTTTTTTTCTTTATTATTCAGCATAAACAATTCACCTTGCTCTTCTTTGGGGCCCAAGAGTTCCAGAGCATGGGGTAGCAAATAAGTGAGAAAGTACTTCTGATTTTAAAACATTACCATACACTCCCATGGTTTATGTCTAGTATGATAGTAATAAAATTGCAGTCAGGTTTAAAAACAACACAACAGGTATATATTAATGTATAATTTCTAAACACATTAACTTTCTGCATCATTACTATTATTGCAAAGCTCCAGGGTAAGTTCCCATCTAACATTTTCTTTTTCCTCAAAATTTGCTTCACTAAATCCTGAATGGTTCCTTAATTGCTTAAGATTCCTTATTTAATATTTAATCAATTTTTAAAACCATTTTTAACCCTAGCAGTTTGAATTCTTTGAGATACAGAGATAATGTAAGCAAGACCACAAATTTGTATGAAGCCAAACCTTCTTTCAACATTAATTTATTTCTACATTTATAATACAACTCATCTCTAGAGTCTATAGTTGATATTCAACCTCTGGATTATTTTTAATCCTATGATGGATTATGACAAGTGTGGCTTTTATAGCTAATTATCCTAATAGCTAATATTTATTGGGTACTTACCATGTATAGACTTACTTTTAACATCCTTCTATGTGAAATTTATGTTATTTTAACAGGGGATTCCTGTTAAAAGCCCAAGGCAAACTTTTGACTCAGTTATCAAACTTTTCCTTATTTTATTACAGAATACTAGATGACAGTGCACAGAATTCATGCATGGGAGGGGGAGATCCCTCAACCCAGCCTGCACCCTCTTCAATCCGGGACCTTTTGGGGGATGTCTGACTGCTGGTTTAGTCAGCATCCCTCTGGCAATTCAGGACTGCTGACTCCTAACCGCTCACCTGCCTAATTGCCTCTAACCACTTTGCCTGCCTACCTGATTGTCCCTAACCACCCTCCCCTGCTGGCCTGATTGCCCCTAACTGCCTCTGCCTCAACTCCTGCCAATGTGGCTTTGTCCTGACGGAGGACTGGATGACCGGAAGATATCCAGTCAACCTGGTCTAATTAGCATATTACCCTTTTATTAGTATATATATAGCATATTTAATACAATACTTAGAGATCTGCTATAGAAATAGCTTTCAACATTTTTCCTTAATATGACATGTTTGTCTATAACTCAGTAGGATAAATGATTTTTTAAATAAGTGACATATATTCAATCTTTATATCTTTCCATGTTCAAGGTAATAACCATTTAGCAAAACTTTAGAAAAGATGTCATTTGACATGGATATTGAGTACTCAGGATTCTAGTTAATCCCATTAGAAGCAAAGCCTCTTAACTCACTTTTTCTGCTTTGCTGAGTTTCTAAATAATTGACCTATTTTTTAATTTCCAAGGTATAATTCTGAAATATTGACAAGGACACATTTAAATTTAAAGGTATGCAGAATACATAAATAAATTATAATTTTAATGCAGTTGCATATTAAATAACATTAATCAAATTATATATAACATACTAAATATGTAAAATACATTAAATTAAGTACATTATTTAATCTTTTAAAGATATTTTTATTTTAAATAAGCTATTTTTTTATTCTTTTAGTTACACCATTTAGTTTACATGTGGACTAAATTCTGGGCCACACCTGGAATCTTCAATAAGTTCTCTGTCATATTTAAAGGACCAGGATGGGGACCAGGTAAACCAAGACTTGGACTAAATGAAGAAATCCCTGAGGTAAATAGAGTTCCTGAGTTTGATGATGGCGATGATTAATCTCTTATAATAAGGTCTACAGCCAGCCTGTGTATATGCTGAGTTCATGCAAATCTGAAGAAAAAAAAACACACAAAAAAAGATATTCTCTTAAACAGATGTACCCTGGAGGTGCATAACTTAATGAGTGGACACCACCCAGGGGCCAGTAAGAGGGTGACTTCCCCCACTTAGACACTGTCTCTTACCAGAAATCATTGGGGATGGAGCAGCAGAGGCAATTTTGAAGCCTACCCAAATCCATAGCCAGGAGACATTGTGTAGTTCAGACACCCATGCAGCTCAGCCACAGAATCATAAACCATTGGAGATGGAGGAATCCTTAAAGATGAATTAGTCTAGTCTTTATTTTGTTCATGAAAACCTGAAGTCTCCAGAATGGGAGGTCTAAAGTCACACCAAGATGATGTAGTTATTGGATTAGACCACACCATTATTCATTCTGTAGTAGAATAGAAACATTAAATACAGAAATCCCATTTTAAAACAAAAAATAAGCAAGGTCTAGAGATTTAAAAACTGGAAACCAAATGAAATATTCAGTTTTAGTCCGTAATTCCTCTTATAGACATGGAAAAGGAATTTCTTCCCAGGTATTCAGGATTTATATTGTTGTTCCTTATGAAAATAACTGCAATTAATAGTAATATAGAAATAATCGAAATAGTAAACTATTGATTTCAAAGATAACTATGAGTATAAAATTTAGCCAGTATTTCAAGGAAATAATATATTTCATATGGATGTTATTCTTATTTTAAAAAATATACTGATATAAGTAAGGTTTGTTTTCTCACCTAGTTATGAAATATTCCATATTGAAATTTCTCAGATGCTTTGGTTATATTCAGTCAATTATATAAAAAGAGCTAACTTGATATGTGAAAATATTTTGCTTATTTCAGCTCCAAAAAAGTCTAGTTAACTATTGTCTATTTGTTGTTTTTTAAAAAGATAACCTAAATTAATATTTTTAAGTCATATTGTTGCTTAAATCTGAATTTAAAAATAGAATCATAGTGTTTCTTGGAAACAGTTGTTTGAGAAAGTTGTTTCTAATAGGGCAACATTTCCCTTTGAGGCATAATTATTTCCACTACCCAAAAGTCACCTTCCATTTTTCCCTTTTGCTATACTTTCATGTACATATAATCATGGACATATTTTTCTATTTATATTTTCATATTTCATATTTTCGTGTTCATTTTTGTTATGTTTATCACCAGTAAGTATTGCCAAATCAGTTCTTACTTTGTTCTACATAAGACAGACTAAAATCAGGATCAGAATGCTGAAATGAAAAACAAGTGTCCTAACTTTTACATTTTTTTTCTATCTCATAAAAATGAATGTTAGAATCATTTTTTTGAGCAGGGAGATAGCAAAACCTTTGCTTTCTTTCTGCATATCTTCTCTTCATAGTCTGAATTCAAATGAGAGGAATAAGCCAGGAAGCGATATCAATGAAAGGCTTCTTCTTGTCTTCCTAGGTCACCGGGGAAGAAGTTCCCTACTCATCACCAGCGCCTTACCTGTTGAAGATCTATACAGTTGTACAGTTTGCTGTGATGCTGGTCTTTTATGAAGAGACCTTTGCAAATAAAGCTGTAAGTGTTGTCATTTTAAATAGTGTGAAAAATTATGTCATTTTTCTTGATAAAATATCTCACATTAAAACAGGTAAATTTATTCTTCTAGACTACTGAATGTAAATTGATTATATCAAAGTGCTTCAGTATAGAATTTCCATCAAATGGTATGTTATTGATCTAAATGATAAAGAGTAAATAATTTGCCACAAACAGATTTCTCATCTATTACAAAAAAAAGTATTTTGGAAGTTAGAATTAAATGTCTGAGAAAATACTTTATATTAATTTTAACCTACTTACCTTAAATGACAGCATACCCTGATACTTTGACATTAGAAAGTTTAAATGTAGGTTGACTTCATTTGTTTTTTCCTTTCTAAACATTCAGAATATTCAGGATAACCAGAGCACAGGATCAGGGTTAGAATCTGGATTCTAAACCAGGCATCGGGGGAGGTTTTTTTTATTTCTTTGTGTATGTATGTGTGTATGTATTTGCCACATAAAAATACTCCCACTGTGTACAGTTTTTAGAAAACAAAAGTAGCATAATGTATGTAAAAATTTATAATACATTGTAAAAAGATAAATACAAAGGTATTTTTAAATGTGTTTTGTTTTCTAGATTTATTTATATTATTTTCTTCCTGAAATTATTTGCATTAGTTCAAAGAGGTACTTAAATTATACTAAGGTATCTAATTTGGAAGTAGGTGAACTTGAACATAGAATCATAGAAGATAAAAAATCAGTGTATTTGGCTTTGTTGCCAGGAAAATATATACCTCATGAAATAACCTCATTTTCGGGCATTTTGACAGCTCAGTTGAGTCAAATAATGCCATCAGGAATCTTCTAATTTTTTCTTACAGCTCTGCTTTTCTCAAAATGCAGATTCTCCTCCAGGTTTTCAGTCTTTGTAGTAGCAAGGTGGATGCCAGGTCGCTCTAGCTTTCAGCACTGCCTCACAAAAAATGCTAGAAGTGAAAGTTTTACAGTCTGATGTGAAGGCTCGGGTCAGCTGGGTATCACTGAACCAGGCAATGCGGTCAAGTGCGGGTTATTGTCATTCAGTCTATGAATGGGAAGACAGGGTCAGCTCCATAGGATCCTCATTGACTGAGAGGAGGGATAGGATGATTTGGAAGAAAATTGAGATGGTAATAAATAGAAAAAGGGAAATAGATTGGAGTTGGCAAAAATAAATACTAGACCTCCATAAATCATTCTCACACACAAAAAAATATGTGATTTGAACTTGTTTTAAAAAAATATGCTTTAAACGCTTATAAAAATCCATATATATAAATCTTCCTGTAGGATACCAGAAATGTCATGAGACTATAATGGTGGGATATACTGGCTTACTGCTGGCACCCGCATACACACATGCACTACAACTAATGAAGCCAATTCCATGTTGTAGCAGATTCATTTGCCTTTAGTTTCACAAGAGGTTAAATTAGAACCCAAGAATATATTTCAGGAGCAAAGCTTTCTTAGAGGTAGCATGAACTATATCCCTCTCAGCAATGTACCTGTAGATATCAAACTACCCTAATATTTAGAATTATTGATGGCTTAACCTAAGGCCTCACAATCATCTCTTCAAGTAGTATATAATTAGCCTATCACTGATTACTTTGTTATCTTCATTAGTTCATCTAACTGTGACTAAAATATATATGTGATATAGAATTCAGATAGTTGAATGAAACCAGAAGAAAAGCAAGATCATCTGCATCTAAATACAGCACAGGGAAAATTAGGTCTGTAATTGTGAGTACATAACACATATTTTGTTCTTGTATTACTATTATATTTATTACTAGTGGCCTGGTGCATGAAATTTGTGCACATTAAAAGTTAATTAAGGAGAGGAAATATTTTAATATTGCTATTTGCCCATTCTCTATAATAGAAGTGTCTGGCTAGCCCCACCCCCATTGGGTGACACCAGGACTCAGCAGGCCCCACCCCCATTAAATCCCATTGGGCAGAGGATGCAGCCTCAGGTTCCCTGGCCCTGGCCCACGACAGGCAGCCTCACCCAGACCCACCGCGCCACGAGACCCCAGACCATCTGTGCTGCAGGACCCATCTGTGCACCTCCAGTCATTTGGTCGTTATGGATAAAAATAAAGACATGCACTTAAGCATGCACATTCATTTTCAATGCCTCATTTGTGTGCATTCTCTAAATTGTAAAATAAGTAAGATCTTCAGCCAGATTATATCATAATGTCAAGTTCCTTATATAATGACACATACCATTCTCTCCATTCAGTATGCTCAATTTGAATGGATTAAATGTATGTGACTCATATGAAAGGCACTGCTGCTTGCTCTTAATAGAGGAAGCATTAGCTCATTACCTACTGCCATAAAGTAATTTAAAGGACATATACTGACTTGAAGAAAAGAAGGAAAAATAACAAACACACACACACACACACACACACACACAAGCGTTTAGTGCTGTGGACGACAGAATCTTCTCCTTTTCCCTTTGTTTTTTTTCTGCTTTTCCCATGAACCTATTTGCACTCTGCCTCAAAACCAACACAGAAGATAAAATCAGATGCTATAATATGCATTTAATAGTGCCATTTGAGTACAAAGAGGTGTTTTTCAACCTTTACTGCTTCTTCTATTTTTTTAAATCAATGCAGCTCAAACTTGCTCCCAAGTTCCAGGAGCCAGGCCAGCGTGGCTGTGCGGACACACCTTCGCCCTATAGGTGCTGTCAGGCTTCAGGGCTGGGGCAGGGAACAGGCCAGGTGTTGCTGGAAACGAATCAGCTTTCCTCTCTATAGCAGGAGTCTTTTCATTATAAAACACAAAGCAGCTGCCCTTTTCCATTACCCCCATCCCCAGCCCTCCTTGGTAGGGGCAGGCGGGTTAGATAGGGGCTGGGAGGATATTTACTCTCGGCTCTTTGATTTCTCTTATTTAACTGTGCCCAGTGACAGCTTCTTCTCTGAGCACAATGCCAGCTGGCTCAGGGCTAACCGCACCTGGAAGGCAAGTGGCAGAGGACCAGGGGTTTTGACTAATCCTAAGCATGTGGGTCACAGCAATCTCAGCAGGCAGGCTGCTCCCAAAGACTCTTGACCCCTCCCAGATCCATGTCCCAGCTCCCTGCCCTCCCCCATTCCACCCTCAGGCACCACCAGCATGGTGTGCCCCAAGGCTTGGTGTGCAGACACCAGGGCTGCAGGTTCAAGATGCTCCACCTCCTCCTGGCAATTTGAGCCATAAGTATCAGCAGGGACCTTTCCACTTGGTCTTGGTCTTTAGTCATTGCTGAGGTTTCCGGACTCTCTAGGCCAGGGACAGCCAGGACTTTTGCCTCTGACCAATGTTGTGCCTGCAGTCTGCCTGGGGTACCCCCAGCCCCAGGAAAGCATGAGGGCATGGCTGGTCTGGGTGGGGGCCGTGGGTGGAGGTTGGCTAGCCAGCCCACCCTTAATTGGGTTATGAGAGGTTGATCGGGTAGGGCCAGGGGAGAGGCTGGGCAGGGCAGCCATCTTGTGACTGCATTATGGAGTGAGGGTCAATTTGCATATCACCTCTTTATGATAAAAGATTTTAGTTATGGTATTATTTCTTATTATTATTAACCTACTTTGCCCACCCTGTATACAACTCTTGGTATCCTGAGTGCATTTATTGAATTACTTCAGTTGTACTAAATAAAATCACAGAATAAATTGTAGTAATTTATAGAAATAATAATAGGAATTTACCCATTTACATTTTGAAATAGAGACCCTTAATATTAAGTTCACCAAGAGATTTGAATGTCTAAGCAAGTGTGGCCTGCATAAAAATGTGGCCAGACACTATTTATACTAAAATATGTAACATATTGCCTGGTTTTCACAGGATTTTTCAACTACAGTAAAAACTCTATGAGAAACTCATGTCAATTTATTGACAAAGAGAAATAAGTGTCAAAATCCTTTTCAAACTGAAATTAGAGTTGAAGACAGCTTCATTCCTGACACAAATAACTTCTGAAAGGTGTGTTTGCTTGTTTCCCACACATGTTTTTCTTTGCTAAAAACATGCTGTGCAACTAGGAAAAAAGATTGCTTATTTGCGAAATTTTATAGTGCCTTTCTAGTCTCAGGGATGTTTAAAAGCATACGAAGATGTTAAAGTCCAACAGCAATATTTTTTTCCAGAGTCGCTGTAGCCAATAATCACAGAGAAAAGTTGTGGCTGACTGGTAATCGGGGATCCTGCTGTGGTCCCGCAGCCTTTTCTATTTGTGCATATACCAGAGTGGATAAATACTCCCTGTCTTATGTGTGCACGTTTTGTATAAATAACTCTGCGAGTCAAAGAAGCAATTTGATGGCCACCACAAAGGTGTAGAAGGCACAGTCCTTTCTTTCTGAAACATGCAATGCATACATTTAAATATATAATGTTTGGTTTAGTGATATGACCCACAGACTTATGTTGATTTTGGTATAGTAATGCTTGAGAAATCAATTCCTAAGCTGCCAGGGTCCACTTCATGGGGTGATATCATGAATACGCATTTGAAATCAAAATATATTTCCAAAGTAAAATTATAAAGGCAATGGTATCCTTTTAAATAACAGACACACCCAAAACTTTTTGAATATTTAACAGTCTTTACATGTGTAGCTATGTCATTGCAGATATGTTTTTATAAGATTATTTGTTGATTTTTAGGGAGAGAAACATCTATATGAGAACAAAACATTGATCGCTGTCTCCTGCACACCCCCTACTGGGGCTTAAGCCCACTACCTGGGCATGTGCCCCAGCAGGGAATCAAACTGGCAAGCTTTTGGTGCACCGGATGAGTCCCAACCAACTGAGCCACACAAGCAAGGCTGCAGATATGGTTTTACACAGATTATTTGATGATATATTTCAAGTTAATGAGGCATCTGAGAATATCCTGTGTAAATTTGGAAACAGATTTTTATAGTTCCAAATTCCCTTAGTTGTTTTGTATTATGTAAAACATTATGAGCAATGATATTTTGCAACTAATGTTTTCATGTTGACTTGTTTTAACAAGACCCTTTGAAAAAGTAACCAATGTGTTTAGTTGTACTCTTATGACTGAGAGTATCATTTGCACAAATTTAGTTTAGCTTAGGTTCTGTATAAAACCACTCAAGTCAATATCCTCTGTATATTGTTTTCTTCCAGTGCAAGCCCATTGGGATATAGTTTAATTTCCTAAAGTTTTTAGGTGGTAACTGAAATAATGTGAAAAAAATGAAATGTGAACCAAAATGAGCAATTATAACTTAAAGCCACAAAGTGAATGTAATAAATGAGTAGTAGAGAAAGAATATTAGCAAAAGTTATCTTACTTATAAGCATATAATCATATACTCCAGGAACTTACAAATGTGATCATTGTGAGTTCCAATGAAAACTATAATTTTTCTACTATATTGAAATATAATAAAGGAATATGCATACTAAAATGTCATGTACAACAAATATTATATCAATTATTAAATTAAATATATCTTTCTCCTATTAGTACTGTCCCCAAATATGATCAGTATCAGGCAGCAACTTTAAAAGTTATCCTACAGTAGCCCTGGGTGGTGTGGCTCACTTGGTTGGATGTTGTCCTGTGCGTGGAGAGGTTGCTGGTTCTATTCCAGCATCCAGTAGATGTTACTCTTTCTCTCTCTCCCTCTCCTTTCCTCTCTCTCTAAAATCACACACACACACACACACACACACACACACACACACACACACACAAAATTGGCCCGAAGGAAATAGGGCTGATTTATACCATAGCATGGAGCTGGGATGTTGGATGTGAACAGTAATCACAACTGGTAGCTTTTGCTTATTGTTAATGAATTTGAACAGTTGCAGTTTAGTTATAGGTATGCATATTAGATAGTAATGAGTTGAAATTACCTGTAGTTGTTTCAGTAAAGAAAAAAAAGAGAAGGTGTTTGTATAATGGTTGATTACTATTTTGGCCAATCTGTTATATTACATCCTGGTATTCTCATAAAGGTGAAATATAAACACCATCAGTCAATAGGAAATTATCTAGGGGCTATGTGTCCAACTCCTTGCTTTTACTGACCCACTTTCAGTCTAGAGCCATCTTAATCTTACCATAAGCATTAGCTACATAACTATAATCTAGATCTCTATCCCTGCTTCCTTTAAGTTTCTTACTCTAATGTATTCTACCATTGTCACACTCTGATCCAGGAGGTGTCAGAGGGGCTAGTTTGAATTTTATGGCAGCATTTATTTCTGGGTGATTATGGAAAAGTAACTAAATCTTTTGTGTCCCAGATTGTTTTAGTGTGTGCTTCCCCCCCCCCCCCCCGATATGAAGCAGATATAATGAAAAAAGTTGTTGAAACTCTAAAAAGAATTACAGTATATGAAACACATAGCATAGAAGCTATAAAATAGTAGGTCTTCCATAAACACTACTATTATTTTTGACATGTAAACAGAATTCATGGCCCTATCTTGATAGCTCAGCTTGGTGAGTTAGAGCAGTGGTCGGCAAACTCAGTAGTCAACAGAACCTAATATCAACTGTACAACGATTGAAATTTTTTTTGAGAGCAGAAAACTTTTGTGCATGACTTCTGTGCATGGGCCACGAAGTTTCAATCACACTGTATGTGGGCAACCACACGTGGTATTTTGTGGAAGAGCCGCATGTGGCTCACAAGCCACAGTTTGCTGACCACTGTGTTAGAATATCATCCCAATAAATCAAACCAGGTTGTGGGTTTGATCACCAGTCAGGGCACATACAAGAATGCATAAATAAGTGCACAACAAATCTCTCTCTCTCTCTCTCTCTCTCTCTCTCTCTCTCTCCCCCTCTCTCCCCCCCCTTTCCCTTCTTTTCTCCCTCTCTCTTTTTCCTTCCTCTCTAACATCAATGAATAAATAAGAAATAAAGTAAAAATGTTAAAGAATGCATAACTTATTTATAATTATGGCAAATTTGTTATTACTATAATTCTAAATATAATACTTTAGACATTATATAAACATATAGATTTCAAATGTATAGATTTGTGTCTGTGTGAAATCGTCTTCATGTATGTGTTTGCACTCATAAACATATTCTCCTTTAAAAATTTTGTATTCAGACAACTTTATGTTTAAAACCACAAGGAATTGGTTTTATTAAAAATAGTTATTGGAATGTGGTAATTATTCACAAAAATCGAAGTGACTTCTGTATATATGCGGTCATTGGTACTTCAAAAAGTTATAAAAGTTAAATGTTAAAGGAGAAATTTTAGTGAAAAAAACACTTAAGTAAGGTATCATTATGAAATTGTCTAATTCATTCTTCAAGGATCCAAGGATATAAATGATATTAGGGAAACCAAATGTCTTCTTTTTGAAAATGTCAACCTCTTTGGAAAATATCAGTGACAAATGGTGTATTTGGGGCTGTTTTTCATATCAGCTTTCAATCCTAATGCACCTTTGGTGACTCTCCTACAAAACTTGTTGGTCTGTGTGTTTTTATGACAGGCACTGACTCAGCTCACTCTCCTGCTGAGGGTCTGCTTCTTTATCCTGACTTTGACCTCCATCGGATTTCTTCTGGATCAAAGGCAAGAAGTGAAATTCTTACTTTTTATATAATTTTATAATGTTTTAAAAATACATGTGAAACTTTTATATTAACTAAACATTTGTTATTAAAGAAATAAAATTGAAACTACAATTTCACCCTTGTATTTCCAATGAAACAGAGCAGCAATTTATCTGATTTTATGTTGGCTTTTCAATCTACGCTTTTAAAGTGAAAATTGGGATTTTCAATTTTATTAAAGAAAATCTATAAATATAATGATTAATTTGGCAAAACATAGACCATAATTCTGAATACTTAACAAAACATAGAACACATTTGAGTATTTTTCCTTTGTCCTTTGAATAGTTCTTAACACATATCTGAATGTGTATATATTTAAAGTTAATATCTTTTACCCTCACACAGTATATTTTATTTAAGGAATCCTATTTTAAATACTACCCAGCCCATAAAATATATTCACTTGAACAATTTTAAATTGCTTTTTTGTCATGAGGTATATAAAAAAACTTTTTTGTTATTGTTCAGTATTTATAAATCATTAATATTAATACTAATACCAACATTTAGGTAATTAATATGTAAGGTGGTGATTAATGCTTACAACACTCTAATATAATATTTCTATAAAGGGCACTTTATAAATTAAGAAAGTCAAACAGACAGTAAAAGATCAAATAGAACACAAAGTCAAGCCGTGTAATCCAGGATTCAGAAATTATAGAACTTACTTGGTGAAAAATTGCAAAAAAGATCTGTCATTCTTGAAATCTTATTTTTGTTGAGGTATTATTGTTTTCCAAATAGGTAATCAGTGATCATTAAAATTACCAAAAAAAATCAAGTTTTGGAATAGCACAAAACTCTGGAGTTGCATCAAGATCCAGGTCCAAATAAACTTCTGGTTAATGAAACTGTTTATAATATGCACTCTGTAGAAACATTTGGTAGAGAACGATGCAGCTGGCACATTTCACATAGCCATATGTAAACAACGTGTAGAATTCTAAACCTGTTTCCTTCAATACTTTAAAAATGGTGTTTATTTTACCATTCATTTTGTTTGGCTCTCTATCCTACTTTTCTACACTAGAAGTCAAGTACATACTGAACCATAAAACAGGAAAACGGAAAAATGTGTCTCAAGTCCACCTGAAATACCCAAATCCAAAGAATCTGAATCACACGTTAAACATCACCATTCTATTATTTGAATGCACTTAATAGAATTGACAATCAGCCAATAGCAATTGTATAGTTTCATTTTTTAATGAAGATTGGCTTTGTCTCTGTGGATACAAATACTAGACAAAATAAGAAAGCTGTCTACAATAACATCCAACTATTCTTCTTGTATGTAGTCACTTAAAAATCTAAACCACCTCAGGCTTTATTCAGGAGCTCATACTGAGATACATTCTAAGAAATCTGTCATTATGAAATTTTGTGTTTATGCCAACATGGTACTTATTACGCAAACCTGGATGGTTTATTCTATTGCTGTAACTAGATGTGCTATACTTTTATACGACTGGCAGCAGAGTTTTAAACTCTGTTACACCAGCATCGTTTTAAACATGTGAGTAATTAATGGTAGTCTAAGCCTACCAAAAAGACAGTTGGCTTTCCTTTTTGTATAAGCTTTGATTGCTGAAACATCCATTTAAAGAGACATCCACTCCAAGGCAGATGTCAGGAATAACCGCCGGTCAGTCCCATCCTACTATTGTAGATACAGAGCCAGGCAGCCTCTCCCCACTGAGGCTCCTTTACTTCAGAGATCCTGGTGCATTTGAAAAACTGACCACTGGACTACTTATTTTTTCCTTCCCACTCTCTAAGTTAACCTTAAAAAGAGTGAAAGAGTGAGCTCATGGAACCCTAGGCCCCACCTTGAACCCCAATAAAAGCAGAGAACTCCTGATGAAGATCTCTCTCTCTCTCCCTCTCTCTCTCTCTCTCTCTCTCTCTCTCTCTCTCTCTCTCTCTCTCTCTCTCTCTCTCTCTCTCTTTCTTCTCCCTCTTCTGTCTCTCCTACTTCCCTCCTTCCTTCCCTCTCCCTCCCTTCATCCCTCCTTCCCTTCTTTCTTCCTTCCCTTTTGCTGACTTGCTTACAAGCCTCATGGGCTCCCTTAGAATTTAGGAGGTGCATGCCTGGGAGGCGCAGGCTTGCTCCTGGAAAGGAAAGCGTTTTCTGGACCTTCATTTTTTTTAAGGCTTTTTAAGACTGGGCAGTTAGGGGAGGTGTTAGAGGAAGATCTCAATAAAATATTCATCAGCTTTATGCTTATGTGTCAAAATGAGATTTATTCTCTTAACTTCATCTGTCCTTGAGTGTGGTTGGCAATTGGCACTAAGGGTTTCTGCTATCTGTCTCCCTGAGTAGGGTCATTTCAGCTACTAACCCTCTGGTTGGGAAGGAGAAGTGCAAACCATTTACCCTTAAGTGTCCCCGGCTTTATGGGACCACCATCCTACATGATGACAGAAATGTCCTTGCTGTATACATGACTGTATAAGCAATAGCATCAAGTATATCAAATATCAAGTAAATATAAGCCTGAAAAAAATGAATATGAAATCTCTTTATAAACATTGTTAAACTATTGAAATACTATGAAACATAAAGAGCTAAATAAATGGGGAGATAACTACATTCATAGATTGGAATGCTCAGTATTGTAAAGATTACAATACCAAATTGATTTACTTATTTCCATTCTGTTTTTTTATTTTATTTAATTTGTTGGGGTGACATTGGTTAATAGGATCATATACGTTTCAAGTGTACATTTCTATAATACAAGATCTGTATATTAATCCATGTGTCAACCACCCAAAGTAAAACCATCTTCTGTAACCAGATATTAGGCCATATATTACATTTTCAATACAATATGAATTAAAATTGTGAAAGATTTCTTTCTAGAATTTCACACAGTCTTTCTAAGATATAAGTAGATAGTCCAATAATAGCCAACAAGTCTTGAGGCTTAAAAAAAAGGCAAGAGTTGCATAACTCCTTCTCAAGATTTATTATAAAACCACAGTAATTAGACATGTTTTATTAGCACAAAGATTAGAACAGAAAACCTAGAAAGAGATCTATGCTTATATATAGACTTGATTTGTGATAAAGGTGTCCCTGCAGAGCCGTGGGAAAAGGCTGGCTTTTCAATAAATGGTCTTAGAAAAATTGGATTTCCACATAGGAATAAGAAAAATAAATTTGACAAATATTTCACACCATAAAAATTACTTCTGGGGTCAGGGGATTCTGTGTTGAAAAGTAAGAGGAAAGCCAATTCCAGCAGGTAGCATAGTAATATGCATCTATAACTTTGGAGTATGTAAAAATAGTAAATGGTACACAAAAGACCTAATTATTGATGATTTAGGTAGAATTGTTTAATTAAACTATAATAATATTAAGAAAGTTAGTTTTTCAAAAATTAACTATCATTAAGACAGTAAAAAATAAAACCAAGTAGGAGATGCTATTGGCAAATTTTAAAAGTAGCAAAGACATTACATCCCAAATTACTAAAATTAAAAGGATTAATAATACCAACTGTTAAAATGCTCACACACTGAAGAGAGGGGTTTATTTTATGATATTTAATTTGAAAAACTGAGAATTTTTCTAACATAATTTTAACATACACTGAGTGACCAAATTATGATCCCTGAACTCATAATAATCTGGCCACTGTGTGTGTGTGTGTGTGTGTGTGTGTGTGTGTGTATGTGTATGTATTAGAGGCCTGGTGCATGAATTGTGTATATCTAATATTGTGTGTGTGTGTGTGTGTATGTGTGTATTAAAGGCCTGGTGCATGAATTATGTATAACTAATATGTGTGTGTGTGTGTGTGTGTGTGTGTGTGTGTGTGTATCTTGTAATCCAGTAATTCAATTCTAGTTATATATTAAAAAATACACCCAAATATGCATGAAAGGGAATGTGTAGATAGCACTGTTTACAATAAACAAATATCTTCAACACCAAATGTTCTTCACCAAATGAATGGTTGCATGCATTTTTATACCCACACAAAGGAATACTATGCAGGAGTGAAAGAGTGAACCCCTGCTACTTGCAGCATTATAGGTCTGTCTCGCACACAATAATGAGTGAAAGATGCCATATACAAGAATGTGCATACACTATACCATTTATGAAATGTAGGAAAGAGATAAAATTATAGACTAGTTTTTAGAAATTTATGCTGAAGTGGTAAAACTTTTTATAAAAAAAGAGCAAGAAAGGCTATGATTACCATAAAAGTCAGAGGATTGATTCTTGCTGAGAGGGAGGATGAAAACATTGAGGAGTTAAGAGGTATCATTTGGATGCTGATAATGGGTGGTGGGTACATGGTTGCTTATTTGTTGAAAATCACCCAGCTGCATATTTCTGCTTTCTATACCAGTACTTCTCTATATGTATATTTGATTTTACAATATAAAAGTTTAAAAGGTAAAAAATATTAAAAACTTAACAAAACTATGTGTTTTAAAATAGGGAATCTTGTTTTTATAATTTAAAATTACACATATATCATTAAAAATTATCATAATAAGTTATGACATTACAAGGGAAAGGCTTTCTTAATGTTTTTTTCTCCAAAAAAACTTTAATCACATTACTTGAATGCAAATTATAAATTATTATTCTGTTTCTATTGAGTTTAAAAATGCATTCTCTTTTTTGTACTAAAATGTTGTTATGTTCAATTTTATAGAAACGGTGGGTCATAATTAATAGACAATAGAAGAAAGTCTTAAGTTAAAAATACACTTTAGATTTTCTTCTTTTTTTCTATACCTCAATTTTCTAAAATAAATATAATTGCATTTTAATGACATTGATTCTGTAATATTTTAATTAGAAAGTTCACCTTATAACAATACTATTTGTCTTTTACAAAAACATTAAAATATCCAACAAATGTTAGTTAAATATCATATCAAACTATTTTAAACTGATAAAAATATCTGTTTATTACCATCATTATGAGGCAGTGAATAAATGCCTCTCTTCCTGTGATATTCAGCACTGTTTCAAATACATAAATACCTGTATTTTATATTTTAGATACCATATATACAGAAAATATTCATCATAATAATTAACAAAGATCTATAGTAATGTTACCTAATAAATTAGGTATAATTACACCAATTTCACATTCTTAGTATTTCAGAATTCAACTTTTCTTTATTTTAGAGTACTTAACTATATCAGTCTTCCGACCAAGTCACTTTTTAATGAATGAAGTGTAAAGGTAAAAGCATTGAGTGAATGAAGTGTCACTTACTTTAAAATTTATACAGGGGTCCTCAAACTTTTTAAAGTGGGGGCCAGATCACGGTCCCTCAGAGAGCTGGAGGGCCGGACTATATGAACTACTAATTCCTACTGTAACACCTCGGCTGCGCTCACTGCCCAAAAAACCTGGCGGGCCGGATCAGACTCCTCTGCGGGCCGCATGTGGCCCGCGGGCTGTAGTTTGAAGACGCCTGTATGCTTCAGCCTGATTCATCAATGCTCAAACTAAGCAATACATTGGTAAAGAACAGATTTTCTTTAAAAAATGCCTTTTATTGCCCAGCCAGTGTGGCTGAGTGGGTTGAGCATTGTCCAGTGCACCAAGAAGTCGCTGATTTGATTCTTGGGGTCAGGGCACATGTCCAGGGTTGTGGGCTTCATCCTCAGTAGGGGGAGGGAGGCATTCAGGAGGCAGCCGATCCATGATTCTCTTCATTAATTTTTAAAAATATATATTTTATTGATTTTTTACAGAGAGGAAGAGAGAGAGATAGAGAGCTAGAAACGTCAATGAGAGAGAAACATCCACCAGTTGCCTCTTGCACACCCCCTACTAGGGATGTGCCCGCGACCAATGTACATGCCCTTGACCAGAATCAAACCTGGGACCTTTCAGTCCACACACCAACACTCTACCACTGAGCCAAACCGGTTTTGGCTCTCTTCATTAATTTTTATCTCCCTCTCCCTTTCTCTCAAATCGATAAAAAACATTTAAAAAAAAAAAAAGATGCATTTTATCTCTTCCTTTAATGCCTGTTTCAAACAGCTTCAGAGACACATGCTCCTCAAATACATTAAAGTGCAGAATGTTTTTTTAATTTAAAATAAATGTATATAACTGTATTAATTATAGCATGCAAACATGTAAGGAGTGTATTTAAAGCTAATGCATGTTAATGACACTTCTTTCAGACCTAAGGCAGCTGTTGTGGAAGCTTTCCGTTGCTTGGTGTTTCTAATGCTGTTTCGATTTGGCCCTCTGAAGCCTCTCATCTCTTCCTTGTCATTTGCTTTTGAGGTAAGACATTTGCTTTAGGTGCCTATGGCAGGATTATACATCTATTGCTTATTTCATTCATTTATTCAAGTTTTTTAAATTATTTTGTGACTATTGGGGGAAATTTTTACCTGTTCATCCACTTACCAAAACTTATTGTGTCACTTTGAGCTAGTTAATAGTGTTAAGCCTCAGTGTTCTGGTCTCTAATTTGGGATTGACATGGCTAATCAAACACAATTGTTGGACAAGTCACATTGCATGACGTTTATAAAGAAATTGGCCCACATAGTTGGTTCTCAACAAGCAGTAGAAGTTATTTACTAAACGTTCTTGGCAGAGACTTTGCCATTTGAGATTTTTCTCTTTAGGGTGAAAATGAAAATTGTTGCATATTTTGCCAATTACCTATAATTCTACAGAATTATGATTACATAATATAGGCTAAGTGGCAGGTGAAAATAAGCTATTTGGTGTGATTTATTTGAAATCCATATTTTAAAAATTACTGTCCATTTTCTGTGATTCTTCTAAAAGTAAATACCTTCTATGAGTAACAATACACTTGGTAAACAAATTAAAGCAATATTAGAATATATTGCTGCTTTTTTTTGTTTGTTTTATAAAATGAGGAGACTAGTTTTACACAGTAGATTGTAAATTATCGCATTAAATTTCCTATAATTTATTGGCCCTGTGGGATTTTTCTAGTATGAATGTGCACCCTAGAAAATATTAATCCATGATAGTTTTCTATATATCATGTTTATTATTAAGATAGTTAAAAATTAAGAGACATAGTACATTTTTATTCTTGCCATCCACCCCTTATCCCTCAGTCCCTTATTTTAAAGGTCCACCAAGTGCTTTGCCAAATACTTTAGATTCAAAAAGGTTCCTATCATCAAGCACATTTCCCCCATTTTAATGTGTATTATGAGGAACACACATTTTATATATTTCTGATTAATTCTGATTAATTTGTACTAACAATATCAAAAAATAGGCATTTTGAGCAGAATTTTACATTAAAATTGAGTTTTTTAAGAAGCATTTTAAATGCTTTTTTTCTTTTTTATAGTTTAGTTTACTTCATATTGCCTCTTTTTGCTTGCTTTACTTTTCTTGTTTGAAAGCAGGAAGTGATTCCTTGCCAAGAGTAGATTAACCAAAAGAGCAAACATGTTGAATTTAGTTCACCATCACAAACTTTGAATTTTGAGTGAGTTGGAAAATGGATCCAATCTCTATTAATTACATTGTTTGGGTAAAAATAGAAAGTCAGGAATGTTAGCAGTCTAGTTTTCTGCATGGCCCATTTCTGTCCACTGAACCAGCTTCCATCCTGTTGACTCACATCCCCTCCATTTCTCATGGCTGTCCTCTCCCTTGACTTATTTGCGGGTGTAATCGACCAGTGGCAGCCTGGTGAATTACGAGCAGCGGCTTAAGGTAAACATCATTTACTCATAAGAAATTATTTCCACATCACCTAGTTTTTCTGCTTGGCATTCAAAAGAGAGAGGCCCTGCCCCTTTTTCTAATCACCTGTCCTGCATTTGAAATAACAAAGAGCCTCCTCCAGCCCGTGTGCCACGCGCTGTGCTATGATTTATGGCCTGAGCATCCGACACTCTCCGAGCACTAACAAGATGGCCTGCTGCGTTTGAAATATATCCCCCGAATGAAAGCAAACACGGCTTTGTGATATAAAGCCTTGTCAGCACTCGAGGAATTAAACACATACAAGATCTAAGTTTTAAGTTGTTCCTTTTCTGAGTTGCCTTTACGAATAGCTCAAATGGGTTACGATCCACGAGCCAGTGTTTCATATATTAGAGGAGGACTCTCAGGGAATCCTGACCCTGAGAAATAGGTGCAGGGATACTTGGCAGAACGTCAACGTGGTTTCCACCGGTACATGACAGGGACTCATTATGGGCTTGCTGTTGCCTGTAAGCTGGTTTCACTACCATCAACTATGAGGCCAGGATGCCTGGTTCCAGATGCTCTCGCCAATTGACCGTAAAATTGCTATGCATTTCTGGCCAAGCCCGAGATTTTAAAAGCTCCCCTCCCCCTTTTCTCAACACCCCACCCCCCAATTCCTTCTAAAAAGCTGCTCATTATTCTTCCCTTTGCCCCCTGATCTCAGCAAAAGAAATACTTCTGGAATCAATTATATAGAAATGTCTGCCCTTGATGAGGTTTGCACGTGAATTTGGAGTTGTGAGGCTTTGATAGTGGCAGCCAACAGCTGCAGTTTCAGGTGGTAAAATCTATGAAGGAATTTTCCAAGGCTTATTTACCACCATAAAAAAAATTTTAAAAATAGGCAAGACAACTAGGGAAACTGTCTTATATGTCTTTTAAAGTGAGGTCAGATTTGAATTATGTATTTGTTTTATTCACAATGAGCAAATGGGAGATCTCTGTTTGGGGGAGTCTTTCCATTGCTTTAATAGATTGTGTCAAATGGTTATAAATATTGGAAATGAGGGTCTCCTTTGCTAAGGTTAATGGTAAAAGAGAATCTGTTATTTCTTATGTCATATTAACTGCTTGACAAGTAAAGATAGTCAAGGTTAATGGAACCTGTCTTCTGAGAAAATAATGTGAATACTGTGTAATACATTGGCCTACTTTCTTCCTCTCTAGCTATGTGTACGTTTAAGATATTAAATAAAAATGTACAATAGTTTTTCTTTTTAAATCTAGTTATTTGGTAACTTTTATTAATGTGTATTTAATATGATGCTATAAACCTTTTTATGTTTATGTGTCCAATTAACATCATCAGCAATTGTAGCATGAAAATGACATAATTTTCCTAAAACCAAATTGAAAAGTATAGTAAAAACCCAGGTATCCAAATTATCACATGGCACTTTCAAACACATGGACTTTCCTTTCCTCTAATATATGATATGCTTCTTAGAAGTCTACTTTTGTTTCTCATGCTGGCTAAAAAACAGAGACAATTTCAAGCATACATTTTATCACTAAAATTTTCACTCAAGACTTGAAGAAATTCTATCAAAGTCCTCCACCTAGAGAACCACTATTACAGAATTCTAGTTTTCAGAACTACTGCTTCTTTTATAATTAAATGAATTTTTAAGCACCTGCTATCCCCTCTCCCTCAAAAAGTATTACAGTTTCTACTTTTATAACGGTGGAGAGGTATTTTGTGTTTGGAGGTATCTCTGTATTTAAAGGTGGTAGAGGTAAGTTTCAATTTGAATTTTTATGTGCATTCTTCATACAAGTGCAGACATTTGCCCATTAATCACTCTGGTTTCTAGATTGAGGTTTTTTAATTAATTAACTGCATGAGTAAATAACCATTAGTAAGTATATATAAATATAATACAATTTTATTATTTTCATGGAATAAGTTTAAGAAGGCTGAAAAATTCAATTTCTTAGAATACCTAAAGTTCCCAGGCATGCCACAATGTGAAAAAGGTTAAAAAGTCATATTTTACTTAAAGATTTCATATTATCAACAAAAAATAACAAGACTTAACAAATTTTAATTACCACCTTTCAAAAATCACGCATTTATCCTTCATATATTTTGCATGTCACTGGTGAATCAAGCTTCCTTTAGAGTAAATCAAACAAACAAAAGCTACCTACAACCTTTAACAACATTCTGGAAGTTACTTTGCTGTGATCAAATTGTTACAGAAAGGAAAAGCTAGCTGCCTTGCTCATTCCTTTTCTCTGAGGTGAAACGTGGCAGGTGCCAGCTTTTCCTGGGCACATGTTCAGATGGAAGAGCAAAATTGGCTGTTTGGTGTTAAACCCATTGACTGTTGTAACATTCTCTCCAGGGCGGAAGTGGAGATCTGCTCTCTGACTCCCAAATATTAGGCATCCAGTTAGGTCTGAAGTGAGACTGCAAGCTCACTAATCACCATTTGGACATTTAATCTCTGAGAAAATCATGCACCTGGTCCAAAGTTGCTGCCTGACGCACTCACTTGCCACTCCTAAGTATGCTGTTTAACTGGTGTCATCCTGTCTGCATGCCTATAGAGTAGGTTCAGAGAAATTGGCTGCTACAGATTAAAAGCTAATATGGATTTTTCCACACAACTTATGTTGTCATTTATACTATTTCTACCAAGGGTTTTGATCTCATTTACAGCACAAGAAGGTACATACCTCTCTTAAATTTTGTTTGTTTATGACAGTGCCTGACACTGGCTTGGCCTCGCTTTGCACAAGTATTTAAATTACTTGTGACCAGATGGAGAAAAAATAGGATTCAGATTCCAGACATATGCTGTTATGAATTAACAATGTGAGGAAAGTCACTTAGTTCTCAGTTTCACCATCTGTAAAGTCAAGGGAATGAAGTACATTTCTAAAGTTACTTCAGTGTTTAAGATTTCATCCTGGCTGTGTGATTAAAATAAAATAACCATACCAATTAAATAGTTGCTATTGATTTATATTCATGTAATTAATTCACTAAGAAGAATGAGATTCAAAGGAATCTTTAAGAAATAAAGAGTTGAACCTATGAGATGTTTTAGTACATGATACATGAGATCATAAAAGACAGGACTAGTACAATTATGTTCCTGTGAGAATTTGACTGCACCTCCATATAATCACCACCATGCTCTTTCCAAGCTACAGAGTCACACCAAACAAATGAATCATTGAAGTACATTTTTTTTTTAATTGCTTGCTATAAATCCATCTTCCAGAGAAGTTTTCTTACTGGTAAGGATGGAGCTTAAAGGGATTCCCAGCCAATGGAAATGGTCAGTTCATTGGGGTGGAGCCTAGAACGAATTTGTGATCAGGAGAGCATTGGGTATTGGAATACTAAAGCCAATATATTGGAAGTCAATGACAGCAAGTCTTTAAGAAGGCTCTCTGAGAATCCATATGCCAATAGCCAGTAATAGCTCTGCACAGAGAATGTTATCAATATTCAGCAAGTATTATCAGTGGGCCTAACATAAAAGCAACCAGAGGCATATAGTTCTTTCCCTTTATTC